TTCAGTGTAAATGTAGACCTTTCGCGTTGTGACCATCAGCACTGAGACCAGGGTTTCACAAGGTGGCAAATATAGTTTTGGAGAATTCAGCACCAAGTCAGAAATATCATACTCAGGTGGCACAAAGTCTTTGACTAGTAGTAGTCTTCAACTTCAAAATCACTATGAAGGACCGTATTTGTTCAAAAAATGTGAGAACTTTTGAAAATGTGTCTAATTTTTTGCTTTGCTGGCAAAGGCACAATATATTCTCCTATGACCAGCATAAAGCCAGTGACCATTTTTAGTTTTGGACTAATTAGACAAAATTCTGATCATTTAGTCATGTTCAAGCCAGATGAAACATACTGCTGGGTGATCTACAGCTCCATAGGAAACAACTATTTCAGCTATCATTGCTCTCACATCTCCTTGCAAGCTGATGTGACACAACCTCTGAGAGGTCCATTATAAAATTGGTTTCTCCAGATCCTGCTTTATAAGAAATAATCAAAAATAAGTACAAATAAAAAAATAAATGAAGAAGACTACAAAGACCCTGCACCTTTCATCCTTACCTCATCAATTAAAGAGGCACTGATCTTGTAAGAGAGATGGTGCCATCAAAGTTCATCGTTTTCTATCAGTTTTGTGATATTCTGAGGTGTTTGAGTGGAACCTTTCTTGTGTAATTATTTAAAAGCCAGACCTAGTCTAACCTGGTCACCAACAGTGACTCTGGAGTCAGCAGGGAGAACCGGGCGCCTTCAGAAGGCAACCCACGCTACAGACACTTCTTGTAGGAGGGCACAAATCACCCTCTGGTGGTGCCTTTCTCTCATCACTCCCACTAGAGGGAATGAATGCAGTTTGTCTGACCAGATATCTCACTTCTGGATGACTAAAGCTTGATAATATGGGTCCCAGTCTTTGTACCTAAAGGCTATGGAGATTAGCAGTGGCAGAACAGAAAACAGCGTGTGGACGTCATTATGTTTCAAATGCCTACAAGGCCTGGACTGCCTGGTATTCCTACACCATAAATAGGGTAACTGCTGGGCCCTAATCAATAAAAAGTCTGTGATAAAATCAGTCTACTCACTCTTCTCCTCCCTCCACACCCTTTGCTCAAACCCTATACGGATTTAAGTAGTGCTTGTGCCTCAGGAAGCAAATGCTGAAAGTGCTGAACACCTATAACTTTGCTACGACTCATCTGCTAAACCCCGAGATCCTTATACTGTTTATCCACGCAAATTCCAGCGTGCCAGCTGCTGAGGGGTGCTAAATGGATTTTTCAGTGGGAGTTGTGGTTGCTCAGCACCTCCACAGAGCTGGCATGTAAACTCCAGCCTGGGCTTCGCTTAGGCGGAAAACAAATCCAACCATCAGTCATGCAGGGTGTGCTTCCCTCCCCGCTTCATGAGCTGGCCTGGTGAAAATTCCTGGTGCTTATTAAAAGCATCATCTGATGTCACTCGACACCACAAGGGAAAATATAAATCAAAGTGTAAGTATTCAGCACTCTCTCAGCATTGGCCTAATGTGATTAATGTAATCTGAGGTAAACACTTCAGTTATTCTTTATTGCTGTTAGGGACCCAAATAGAGGGCTGGGGCTTGTTATTCTAGGTAAAGTGAAAAACAAGCCCTACCCATGAGATCTCCAAGACTAAGATAAAGCTCAGGTAGCAGCTTAGCAGCAGTTACCTAACAGCAATGGACAAACACGATGAAGTGTTGAATCTGAAACCTCTGAAAGGCAAGTGGCAAGGGCTGAGCCAGGCTCAGCAGAAAGCTCTTCCCTGGCAGTGGAGAGGGACTGCAGGAACAGGGCAAGGGAGCTGATCCGGGACGAGATGCAAGAACTCATGGGGAGATCGGATGCCCAAACCCTGTTGATGCTGAGGGGACCTGCTTCTGCTTTCTGCCTTGCAGAATCACCTCCTAGTTAAAAAAATAAATAAATAATATTTACAAAGGTGAAATCTTTGTAAAAGATTTGTAAAACCTTTGGGGAAAAAAAAATCCAACACACTGTATTACTCTGTGTTGTGTGAGCTGCCACTGGAAGGGGAAAATGGATTTAGTAATGTGGAAAGAGTCTGTCCTGGCACCCTTTGATGGTTTCTTGCTTCACACGAGGATAGCATGTGTGACTCAGAGCACAAATCCTGAAGTGTCACAGGTGTGAAAACACAAGCCTAAAAGCCAAGGAATAGCCCCATTGTCAGTTCTGCACTTGCCTCACTGCCGGCTGGGCGTGATGGTGGGTTATTGCTCTTGGAAAGGCGCATCGAGGTATTGCAGCCTGGCAGCCTGCTGAGTCCAGCGAGGTGCAGGGAGAGAATGCTTCACCCAGCCAAACCCAGTGGGAACGTGCCGGAGCTCCGGCGCTGTTTTGCTGACACAGGAAGATGCCATCTCAGCAGCGTATGAAGGAGTTAACACGTTATGAAACACGGTTTTGTCAGTGATGTAGACAAAGATTGTTTTGTTTGAAATGCAGCACCAGCAATGCTGGTTAACAAGGGAATGCAGTCACCTTTCCCAACCAAGGCTTTCTTTCTTGTAACGTGCTAGGTTCAAAGTCTATGAAAAAAGCTGCTTAAATTTAAGCCCATAGATCGTTCTTTCCTTCAGAGCTGAGCTTAGTTTAATATATATTTCTGGCTATTGGCTTGTTGGAATAGCAAGTGGAGGTGGTATAGAAAGCCCGTCTTGCATAAGAAGACAAACGGCAAGCTACAATTGTGGTTCTAAGTAAAAAAGTATGAAATTGCAGGAAATGATGTTCTAAACCTCCTGCCAATCCTATTCCTTTGCAGGTCAGCCCCATGCCTGGTCACACACACTGCTGAGGGCTTGGTGTACAAAATTGCACAACCAATTTCAAAACTACTTTTAGCTACTCCAGGTGTCCTTCCAAAAATAAAGGGCAAAATTTTCAACACCACGGAGGACTAATAACCCACCTACGCTCCCACATTTACTGAGATCTGGAGAGCACACAACCCCTTATGACTCTGAAAGTCTAGCCATGTATTTACTGCTGATACCTGACTTTTGTAATCTGTGTTGGAACATTTCGGCTGAAAGGTTTGCATTCAGCACTTTCCAGGTCTGAGAGTCACATCTCTATAATCGGGGCTCAATCAGCTACGTGCTTTTCCAGCTGAGGATCTGGCCCCATGGGCCCGATTCTTTGCAATACTTTCGCATAAGCCTGGGAAACAACCCTCCTCACCAGCGCTGCTGAAAAGGGATTTTTGTGTTCGAGTAGGCAGCTGTTCCTCCCAGATCTTTCATCCCACTTGTGTGCTCATTAGGGTGCATTAAAAAGTTAGCATGGAAAGTAATGCTCTTTTGAAGGATACCTGTCCATAAAAATCCTTTCTATTTTGCAGTGAGTAGCAGAGGTGCCTTGCTTGGCAAATATGAGTCTAAATCAAAGATAAGTGCATGTTTCCAACAATAAAGTAGATTCTCAGATATTATTTCGCTGGAACAAATAAGGCTATTCCAGTTTAGAGCACCTGAGGATCTAGGTCTAAAAAAGGAGCTATGAAATCTAATCAGATACGAGTAAAGAAATAGGGAGCTACTTTTTCATACCCCCATTGTGTCTCGTCTGTTGGTGTCACAATGCCCAAACAGGTAGTAACTGGAATGAAGCCCAGTATATATCTATATATACTATAGATACGTATAGATATACTATATATCTATATGTAACATGCCACCACTTTGCACTAATTCCTATGGTACATTTTAACACTGAGTACTTACACAAATGCTAAGAAAAACCATCATCCTGTGCTTCCATTCCTCATAAGCATCCCTGCTTCCTTGTCCGTTCCTGGATATGTATGTTAGCATCACCGCTTCGGTAACTTTCTGTTTTAGGGGAGTAGAATAAAAGTCTGCAATGAGTTAAAATTCAGAGAGCACTACTCTGGCATTTTGCCTCTCCTGAGTAATATCCTGACACCAAATGGTTCTCCTGAGATCATGCTGAACTTCCCGGAGTAAGGTGAAATCCTGCATAGAGAAGGCTGGCAGCATTGGCCCGAAGCTCATAAAAATAATTGAGTTTTAAGAATGTACAATAATGTATGTACATATATAGGAATATAGAGGAAAAATCCTCTGTATTTCTTGTTAAATTGTGGTTACAACGATGAAGACAGAAGGCATCCCTTAGCTACCAAATCAGGTTACCCTCACCAAGCTGGTGTTCGTTCTCTGCCAAAGGAATCTGAAAACATTGGAACTAGTAAAAATATTTCAGTATGTTATATTGGCCTATTATATGTCCATCTAGTTTTAAAATATAACAACAATTATTAGTAATTGTTATATTTTAGCTAGACAGCACATCCAGTCCAGATTTCTTTTTTTTTACTGCAAGTGTAGGATACCTGTGCAAATAAAAGGCAGATTTTTCCCCCGGATTTTCTTTATTCTACACTGGGGAGTAGAATCAGCAGCTTATATTTCTCTCTTATTTATTTTCTGTTCTTGGTCTGAGTGAAACTGAAGCGAAATTATTATTAAAAGACTTTAAAGAAACAAAATAAAATAAAGCACATCCAAGGCAGATTTCATGACAGCAGAACAAGGATCACTTTGAGTGGCAGTGCACTGACAATAACTTTTGGCTCAGGTCCACATCAATCTGGAGACCCAGCTCCACAAGCCAAGCTGGCTCGGGATCCCTTCTAAGCAGGCAGTTATCACCTTCATTGCGATAATATTCCAGAGGTCCAAACCAGGGCTCAGCCCTTTGCACGAGTGCAACGCTCACACAGTGCAATCCTTCCTCTACCGCTGTCTGTGGCAAAAGTCCCTCTGCCTACTCTGGCGTTCAAAGTCTGGCTGGCCTCCCCAAATTTCCATGCTCCCTGCCTTTCCCCCCTTTCCCACCTCACTCCGTTTTTTCTGCGTGTTGTGAAATCAGATGTATTTTAATGCAGCCCATCTTTTCATCTTCCCTTTGCCAACCTCTCCTTCCTTTACAGACCGGCTCTGAACCGTCCCCTCAAGGACGAGCGGAGGAAACTCCCGTGAGCAATGAGAGGGGTGGCGAGCCGGCTCGTCATGTCTTCTCCTTCTCCTGGTTGAACTCACTGAATGAATGATGACTCACTCCGGCTGGCTTCTGGTGTGCTCCTCCGAGGGACGGCAAGCGCAGGCAGCCTGGCTGGAATCGACAAAGAAGCTGGCCTGGAAAGGGACATCCGAGCAGGTTTCGTTCCCGGGAACTCAGTTGACCTCCACGTCGTGCCCGGCCCTTGAGACGACAGAGTCGCGACAGGGGTGGGAGCATGGGGACAAATTGCTGTACTTCAGTGTATCAGAGTGTTTTCCAGTTTCTGGTTTCCAAGGGAAAAGCAGCATCGCTACAGCTGCAGGATGAGCACTGCTACTGTTTTGTTATTCACTCACTTTTTGGCACGTCCCCGTGTAGGTGTAAGTGCTTCACTGATATTAGCTAAAACGCTGCTGTGATATTCACCAGGAGCATCCTGTGCCTGCACAGCATTTCCCCTCAGTACCCTCCCGTGTCCAGCCTGCGGGGTGACCTCGGTGCCACTGCCACCCCCTCAGCACCCCAAAGTCGCATTTGGGTTACATTTGGGCACCACCTGTGGTCCTCAGGATCCATCAGCACATCCCGTGCCGCAGAGGCTGAGCGCAGGAGGGCTGAGGGAAGCCGCTGCTCCTTCCTTCTCCCCCTGCACTCACTTTTCCTGCTGAGCCACAGCGGGTGACGCTCACCTGCACAGATTTCGGGTGGGGAGGGACGAGGAGGATGCGTGTGCCAGGCACCCATGCGGGACAGCTCTGAGCGTGTGGGGCTGATGTTAGGGAGCACCTCAGGTGCAGTGAGGTGGCACAGAGCTGTGCCATCAGGTTTTCACCTGCAGGCCCCACGGCACAGCGTGGGAAGGGCGAACACCGGCCTGCAAGGCAGGAGAGGAGCCGTGCAAAGCAGCTTCGCGCACGGGAGACCTGCTGAAGGTGACACCGTGCCTTTTGTCACCTCGGACGGGGCCCCAGCTCTCGGCAGCCCTTAAGGGACACCGGGTGGCTGCCAAGGGGGGCGAGTGCCGCAGGGACCTGGCGTCGGGCTCCGGGCAGGGGCTGAAGGAGCCGAGCACAGCCCTGGGCAAGCAGCGCCCCGCACGGAGGGAGCCGTCGGGGACGGGGCTGCGCGGCCCCGGGGGGCACGGGGGAGCCTGGCGGTGCCACCCCCGGTCCCTGCCTCTTTGGGACCGCAGCCCTGCTTTGTGGCCGTTTCTCCCCAAAATGCCCCGTGAGGGCCGGGGTCGGGGGCCGTTTGCAGCGGCTGGGGTGTGCTAATTGCAATTAATCGTAATTAGGGCTACAGCAGAGCCCGTGCGGGACCACGCTCCGCTCTGCTCCCCTCGCACCCCGCGCGGCGGGGGCGGCTTTGGGGCTCGCCCCGGGGTGCCTAGGCAAGAAAGTCTAGCCAGCCATCGTTATTTGCAGCTTTTATTAAAAATATAAATATTAAACATTCTCTTACACAACAAAATTGACCGAGCGCTGAAAAGATGTTTTATTGTGAAAATGTTTACAGGAAAAAAAGTGGATTTAAAGTAGCTTACAGAGATTCCCCCTCCCACCTCCCTGCCCCCGCCAGGAAAGTTATCTGGCTTCTCGGCGACATTTCTTCCAATGCTCACACATCCCTACGCAGCGATGCCACTAGAAAGACTGGGAAATGGAGAAATAAATAAAGGTAGGGGAGGTTACGGACGACACTCGTGTTTCTGCACTTGGTAGGCGGCCGTGCATGCTAGTCAAGGGACAGAGGCTGTTCGGAGTACACCCTTCTAGGTTTAAAGCTATATAAAAATAAAGAGATGACATCAGAGCAGCACTATGGTACATCGGAGTGTGGAATTATTCTTGTGCTAACCGCGGAATCTCTTTGGCAAGGCGGGGAGGGGCCGCTTCACTTCCCGATGATCTCCATCAGTTTCCTGTTGCTGTGGGCTTGCTGCGCCAACTGCTCGGCTCGGGCCATCTCCAAGACCTCTCGGAGGAGGTGGAAAGTCAGATCCAGAGAAATGGGGGGCTCCTCGGACCGCTTCTCCCTCTCCACGGCCTCCCCCTCGCCTTCGCCCTCCTCGGGGCTCCCCAGCGAGCGCTCGGGCAGCTGCTGCAGCTGTTGCACCGCCGCCCGGAAAAAGTTGGTGGCGGAGGCTTGGGGCTGTGGGTGGCTGCTGCTGCTGCTGCTGCTGCTGGAAGAGGCGGAGAAAGAGCCGGCGGGTCTCTTGTTGAGGTTGCCCAGGCGCAGGAAATACTCTTCTCCCATGCGGAGCAGGACGGGCAGAGTTTGCTGCTGCTGCTGCTGCTGCTGCTGCTGCGGGAAGAAATCCGGCTGGTGCAGAGCCCCGTGGGCGGCTCCGGGGCTCTTGCTGAGCGCCCTGCACTCCTGGCAGGGCAGGAGGGCGACCAGCAGCAGCAGCAGTCCCGTGCACACCAGCACCTGGAGCTTCATGGTCGGGGACCTGCAGCGGGGACGGGATGGGGGCGAGGGGTTACGCGGCCGGCGGGGGGCGCGCAGCGCGGCCGCTGTCCCGGTGCTGATGCGCGCCCCTGCGCGCCCCCGAGACCCCTCTGATCCCCTCCGAGCCCCTCTGATCCCCCCCGAGCCCTCCCCGAGCCCCTCTGAGCCCCGCAGCCCTCCCTCACTCAACCCCGGCCCGTCCCGGCCGCTGCCGTCGGGGCGCGGAGGATGCGCGGGGGGCTCAAAATTGCGCCCGCTTCCCCCGCGCATCCCCTCCGCCTGCCCCGGGGATGCGCGGCCGGGGCTGCGCCCGCCCCAGCCCCAGCCCCAGCCCCAGCCCCCGCGCAGCGCAGCGCAGGCGGCTCCGCACCGCTCCGCACCGCTCCGCACCTACCCGGGGCGGCGGCGGCAGGGCAGGAGGCGGCGGGGCTCGGCGGTGCCCGGCGTCCCTCTCCTCTCGCTCTCTCTCCCTCGGAAGCCGGCTCGTGGCGAACTTGGGATCAGATTTGGTCCTAATCAGAGCCGGGGCGCGGGATTTTTATAGCTTAGACCCTCTCCTGGAATCACGCAGAACTTGCCTAATAAGCTGACGCTCTCCTGACAGCCCGATTGCGTGCCCCGATCCACTGCTGAATAAATCATGGGGGCCCGTCGGAGCGCCGATGGGCCGAGTTTCGCTATCGCAACCCCAAATCTCACGGCCAATTATATCAACAGATATTTATCGCCTCTGCGGTGACGTCAGCCGGGCCGGGGGACGGGGAGCGGGGTGCCCCCCTCCCTCTTTTCTCTCCCCCCCCCCCCTCCCCAACCCCATTGACAAAAATACTTGAATGAGATTTCCTAGCGGGCGCCTACTATGCGAGGTCACTCCGGGAAAACTTTCCACTCGCCGGCCGGCTGCGGGGAGGAAGCCGGCCCGATCCCACCCGCACCGGGACTGCCACCCCGTGAAGCCTCCGACGACCCCCCGCCCCTTACGACCACCACCCCCTCCCCGGTCCTTTTCATCCCGGCCGGGGGCTCCGCGGGGCTGCCGAGGAAGCCGGCGGTGCCAAGCACTCCCCTGCGCCCGCCGTGATGCTGCCAGGGGGCGGGCAGGGCAGGTGCCCCCCCCGGCCTCCTCCCCGCCTGGCTTCTGGCCCTTCTTCCCCTCATCGTCCCCTCTTGCTGAGGTGGAGAGCGAGAAAACCCTTGGGTTTTCCCTTGCACCGATCTTCCCCACCTCGTTGCCCTCCTGGTCACCGGTCTCCCTGCTTGCCCCCCTGCATGGGTGACTGCACGCCTTGAGGTCCCTTTGCAGTGCTCCCCCGTCACCATTCGGTCTCCATTCCACCAGTATCTCCAGCCAGGTTGCTCACCGTCAGGTCCTGTCTTCAGGAGGTGGCACTGCTTGTGGCAAGAACTTCTGCCCAGCGCCCGTTCCACGCCCAACGTGCCTTCTTCAGCCTTTGCATCCCACCAGCTATGCCACTGCAGCTCGGTCCCGCTCCGCCACCGCCTCACTTGCAACATTCGTCATGTCCTTCCCTTTACATCGGAAAATTGCACTGAAAACCCTACCAGTTTCACCCTGCACAGACTGCAAATGCCTGGGGCCATGCACTTGTGCGTGTCCCACCACAGCGAGGAGATTGAACAGACCGCAGAAGGTGGTCGTGTGTTATCGACGCTACATCAGTGACGAATCTGAAATCCATTTCCTTAACAAAATAACGAAGTTCAAACCACTTAATATATGAGGTTGGCCACAGCCCAGTTCTGAGTATCTCCTTAGGGACGCTATACACTTTAATTTTTGTTATACCTACCTCCAGCCTCAGACGTCGTGCCAAAGAATCCGATCGTGTGCATCATAAACACACAAATGGAAAAACAAGTAGTAATACCAGAGATTTGTCTCTGCATTATCTCCGTTAGCTCAGGCATTCATGAACTGAAAAGCATATTTCAACAAAAACAGAGCAGAATATATCGTGGAGATAGTCACAGCAGACGCTATTTGTATGCTTTTAAAGCGTGTCAGCACAGCTTTCCGTGAGAACAGGGGGTTCAAAGAAGCAGGAACTAAGTTCAATCAGTTGAATGTAAGAGGCACTTATTAAACTCAAACCCTCCAGATGTGCTCCAGGGTGGGTTTTATCACAGTGCCTCCCTTTATAGGTTTAGTACACCCTTAAAGACCAGAAAACCTCTTAAAATAATGAGATCATAAACACAAAGAAGGAAACATTCTGATCCAAACACATTTTTCTTAGTATTGTGGGTGAAATCTGAATAAGTTACAGAGCTGCGTCTCTCCAAAAGATTGATGCCAGTTAGAATTGGCTCAGATTATTTTATGTTTTTCATCGTTTTCAATATTATTTAGGTCCCTTTAGGCAGACAGTTTCATCCCTTGAAGAATTACAGTGACAGCAAATACAGCAAAGGAGTGGGCTAGGATAGCTCCTGCAATTTTCACAAGGGCTGTGTAACCTGCCAGGTTCTTCTTACCTTTCTCCCAACCCCTGGCCCTGAGCAGGCTCTGTATTTCTCATGCACACTTACTTCTAATCCAACATGGGCACATTAGCTCATGGTTTCCCCATAGACCCTGAATGACGTGCTAGAGGGCTCACAACAATTTCAGTGCAGGGAGACTGAGATACTTGTATGTCTTAATAACAAGGGATATAGAACAAGACAGATACCTGAACTAAAAGTGCTTCCCTCAGTACTTCAAATGCAGAACTGACTTCCTGTGAACACAGAACTCATTTCTCCAACTAGGAACCAGTTTCAAGGCAAAATCTCTGCTGTTACTCCTGAAGAAGATTACAACAGAAGAAATCCTGAGTTCTCACTGGAGAGCGATTCTCACTGTGGTGATGAAGAGAAACAAGGTGGATATCAGGTAAATCTGGAGTAGAGTTTTACATTTAGTGACACAGTTTGATATTGGCAGGCTCTTCATAAGAAAAGTGCTCATATTTGACTCATTCTGCAAACATCAGCTGCAAACATAATTTTTGCACAATAACAATATCTCGAAACACAAAGTGTTAGCAAGGTCCATCTCCTCTATACTAACATGGGTTGGGTGGCACCTGCACTTTAGTATTAGCAATCTCAAACTCAGGCACCTGCTGAAAGGCAATTTATAGCCACTCTGCTGTAGCTAATGGAAAGCAAGAGCATGCCCAGTGCATGATACAACCCATCGCAAAATAATATCTTGAGGCTTCTGGAGAAGCTCACCTCGTTCCCTTGTCTATAAAGGGAGTACAGAGAGCTACCTTAGTCTAGTCACTGAATTTTTAAATAGCTAATGCTAGGAGAGAAGAATCCCATCCTCATTGATTGACCATAGCAGAGAGCTCACGCGATTCTAAAAATAACAATATAGAAGTGATGATGTTAAACGGAGGGTATGGCTCTTACCCCAGGTATTTTTGAAGATGCCCATCTACAAACATGGAAGAACACACACCAGATGTAGATCAGCTTTCTACAATAGTGTAATATTTCATTGTAATTCTAGCTTTTGTCAGAAGACAGTAAGGTGTTCTGGTCTTGCTGCATTCAGCAAATATTTCCATATCCTCTCGCTTAACCACTTCATGTGATCACCATCATTACTTGGTGCCCCTGACCAGGTCTCCAACACATGATCTTTTATTCTGTGACTATTTCAGCACATCTTGCCCACTCTGCAGTGCCAGCAGTCACACAGTGACTCCTGTATACATTACATTTTCATTTGACCTTTTGCTACTCCTGACACTAAGAAATCTAAATCCTCTGGTCATAAATATTATGGATTCCAGGGCAATCTAGAGAAAAGAAGGAAAAAATCAAGGTATCTTGAAGGTAATAAGTCATCTTAAGGACAAAATATTATTCCTATTATGCCTATTGTGCCTATTATTCCTCATCAGACTGAATTTGTTAGACCAATCATAGAGAACCACAATTAAAGTGAATTATGAAATTCAATAAAAATAAATCAACAAAATAATAATTTTTAAAAGTATGTTCTAGGTCAGGATATGAAAAAAATACACTAATAAGTACTTCAGCTATTTGTCATTTCTTCTGAACCCCAAAGTCTTCAAAACTTTCTCATTCAGTTTCAATTTCTCTTTCAGACAGTTTTTAAATGATTTCACTCCAGGAAGGGGGTTATGTGCTCATGTCATGGGGATTTTCAAACCTGACCCATTCTATGATTCTGTGATTTTATGTGGTATGGCTCACCAAAACGGATTCATAGGATCATAGAGCAGCTTGGATTGGAAGGGCCCTTAAATATCCCCTAGTTCAAACCCCCTGCCAGGGACAGGGACACCTCCCACCAGACCAGGTTGCCCAAAGCCCCATCCAACCTGACCTT